GCCTTACGCCTTGTCGTCTAGACGAGCCTTTATAGGTTATCCTTAGTCGCAAGAGTCACATAGCAAATGTAATTCATTCAATATCGGAAAAATATATATAATACATGTGTGTATAAAGGCGGCCGTAAATATATAAATTAATATATATATATACGAGGACTTGCAACTATCATATATATATTTATTTGCGGCTTTCGCAACTAAGAATAACCTAGAACTCGTAGGCACAACAACGAATTATCTAATATACTAAGGAAATATTATATTAATTAAGAATGTAAATCTTTCCTATTTATGTATATAAAAGTTAAAAATCGTTTACGTATAAAAACATAAGGGATTACCTTTGATTGAAATTGCGGTGCTGAAAGGGACGTCTTCCTCCATGCGGTATCACTACCGGAAAGAAACCGAGATCGGAACTTCCGATCGCGTGTCCCGCAGGTCGCGCTAGTCTGTATAAAGAGCCCTGACTGAGAAATGACTCGTCGATTGAACCCGAAACGATGTCGGATCGATATCGAAATCGACAAATCGACGTTGATTCGACATCATTTTGACATCGATCAAAAAATTTCTTCGACATAATGAGTAACGAAGATAGCTAATAATAAATTATAAAGGTTATAAAATTTCGCATAATTTAAATGACATAATGTCAATGTAATATAAACATAACATTGTTATATAACATGTGATATTGCAATTATATTACTGTTCGTCTATTGTAACATATAAATAACGGAGTAACGTAATAGTTTCATAACTCAGATATATTGCATACATAAAATAAAGTTATGAAACTGTAATGTAATATAAGTGTAACATTTGTTATATTACATGTTACTCCACAGTTATATTGCTGTATTATTCTGACAGTGTAACATTTGTTATATTACATGTTACTCCTGAGTTATATAGCTGTTATATTTTGTGTTTGCTGGGGACGCTTCATAAATAACGCAGGCACACGAAAAAAAGGTCTTGTCCACCAGACGAGATAAACATTTCTATACGGTTTTGAGGTCGCTGAATCCGAATCCGGGGTTGGTTTGACTGGGTCAGGTCACATTTTGTTCCTAACCTCAAAAAAATGATGAAAGTTGGAACATTCATGAAAACACCCAGAAAGCAAAGCGATTATGTTTTCAGGGTCGCTGAGTCCAAATTTGAAGGTCATTTGACTCGGCGAGGTCGCATTCCATTCATAACCTTGAAAAAAATAAATTTTAACATCGAGAACTGTCCCTGACACGTGAGAGAAAATTTTCTTTTATTTTTCCCTGTGATATCTTGTTCTTTTATTCTCAAATGACCTATGCAGGGGGTTTCTGTGACGTTTCACCCCTTTTTGAACAACTTCTCTTTGCAATGTCCAACAGTAATCTGCTAACATATTCACATCCCACCTTCCCTGATACCAAATTCATTGGAAAGTAATCTATGTGAGAATCCAAGAAGTGCAACTTTAGGTTCATCAAACAACCAAGCTTTCGAAAGTTTTTCACCAGATCAGCTACTATTTTCTTGAAGTTTTCACTTTTATGGTTACCGAGAAAGTTTTCCACGACATTTTTGAAACTCGTCCACTCAGCTTTTTCTATTTTGTTCATAACTTTGACGAAATTCTGATCGTTCAACATTTTGCGGATTTGTGGGCCATCAAAAACACCCTCATGCACTTTTGCGTCTGAAATATTCGGAAATTTTTGCTGTAAATATTCGAAACATTTGCCTTCTTTGTTAAGAGCCTTAACAAATTGCTTCATGAGACCCAATTTAATATGGAGAGGAGGTAGAAGTACTCTGTCTGGATCGACTAACGGGGTTTGCTTAATATTTTGCAAACCTGGCTTGAATGAAATTCTCGTTGGCCATTCTTTGCGAGTATAGTCATTCTTTCTGTCCCTACTATCCCACAAACACAAAAAACATGGATTTTTTGTAAAACCTGATTGTTGCCCTAATACCAAACCTAAAATTTTCAAGTCCCCGCAAATTTTCCAATTAAATTCTGAATACTTGATCTTTTTCAAAACAAATTCGAGATTTTGGTGAGTCTCCTTGAGCACAGTTGAATGAGCTATCGGTATAGCAGCGAACTTATTCGTGTTGTGAAGTAATACTCCCTTGAGACTTCTTTTAGAAGAATCAATAAAAAGTCTCCACTCCTCATCCTTGTAAACACCTGGTTTCAGTTCATCCATTAACCCTTGCACATCGTTACAATACACCAGCGATGGGTCGTCTATTTTCGTGAAGTATTTTCTAAATTTTTCTTCTCTGTTTCGGAAATAATCAACTTTAACATCTTTTGCTAAGTAGTTCTTTTTTTTCATAAACGACGAAAGAAGTTCTGCACCATCTTTTGGTAGCCCTAGATCTCTTACCAAGTCATTCAGTTCCTCTTGCAACGTAACTTGGAAAACTTTATCCTTGCCTCTACCTGGGATGTAATCGTCGTCATTTTTGTGATGCTCCGATTCATCACTATATTCATCAGAATCATTTTCTTCTTCGGATTCAATGTTTTTCCTCGATTCGTCTACTTCATCGGAATCATTTCTTACTTTTAGATAATTTTTGTTTTCAAAATTATCAGAATTTCTCTCATTGCAGCACGATCTTTCTGGTTTTTCTACTGTTTTGACATTGGTATAAACAAAGCTTTGCTTATTTTTTCTGTTGAAATCTGTGACGTCATTCATACAAAAGTAACAATCCTTTTGATGCAATGGCTCTTTCCACAACGTAGGTTTGTTATATTTCATGTCCTTAGAATGTCTGCTTGAATTCCAACGATGTAACATCTTAGAACAAGCTGCACATATTATTTATTGTACATAATAGTAGTATAGGTAGGCCAGTTCTAACCCATGGAGCTCCGAGGGGGGAGCGGGGGACGGGGAATACTCCGCGCGCGGGGGCGCGGGGTGGGGAGGACCGCGGCGCTACGCGATCCCCGGCGCGGGGGAGGGGGAGGTCCGCGACGCTTGGCGATCCGCGGGGCCGCGGGGAGGGGGAGGGCCACGACGATCCACGGCGAGGGGGAGGTCAAGCGCCGAAACCTGGACGCGTATTATTATTTTCCATGTTATGAGTCACGGGAGTCAAACGCCGAAACCTGGCTACTGATAGTGACTTTCTTATCAAGGTGCGTGATGTCAGAGAGTTTGGCGTTTATACTCGCACCTACTGCGCTGGCATGTAATAGATATCACCGGGATGTCTTGATTAGCACAGACACAGCTGCGCGTATTATTTTCCATGTTACGAGTCACGGGGTCAAGCGCCGAAACCTGGCTACAGACAAAGATGATGATGCCAGATGGTTCGATGAGACAACTGATAAGGGTTTGGTATATAATCGGTCTGGAAGTCCGCTGTACCACAGTAGGAGATCACACGCAAGTGTTACTACGGATGTGAAAAGACGCTAGCACAACAACATGGAGCAAGATCTGGCGGAGCGAGCCGACAGGGTCACCACGTTGGGTGATTATTTGGCATGGTTACAGCAATGCGAAGAGTGTATAGCAGAGCTTGAGGAACGCAGCCGTGTCAAGCGTCCAAGGCTGTCCGTCGGTAACAGACAATCGCTGGTGGCTCAGATCGCACGATTCGAGTGTATCAAGTGCCGAGTTGAAAGGCGATTCATACAATTCGGTGGTGGCGGTGCAGGGCCTTCTTCGAGAGCGCAACTGTCGTGGCGCGAAATCGACACCGCGTTTGACAATCGCGTGCTTACCGGTGTGGTGATTAACGTGGAGTATATCGATCTGCGCAAATTTCTCGAGGACGCTCGTGAAGTTGTGATCGAGCACGTGCGAGACTGTATTCGCAAACATTATAGTGTAAGGTGAATACTATGTTCAACGGAAAGTTTGTGGCGGGTGACAAACGTGCGAATAAGACGACAAACACAAAAAACTGTAAACTGTTTATTACAAGCAACCTACAACAGTGGTACGAGTCGCGCGTAATCGATCCGACTCTAACCGAACTCGAAGAGTTTCAGGAACGCGATAGCGGGTGGGCGCTGTCGCGTATACTCAACATAACTATTAACGTAAACAAGTACAATCCTATGCGCGCAGGATGTCATATAAACATGCCGGAAGTGATAAAACGAAAGAAAGCGATGATCAACGTACTGTCAAAGGACAATGCGTGTTTCGCGTGGTCGGTAGTCGCTGCTCTCTATCCAGCTGAAAGACACAGACCGCAAATCATCGTATCCGCATTACAGTGACGTACTAAACCTGCGAGACATTAGCTTTCCAATGACACTCAACCAAGTGAAAAAATTTGAACAGTTGAACAATATCTCCATCAACGTATACAGCGTCGAGAAGAAGAAGGAATGTACAGTCGTACCTCTACGACTCGCAGATGATAAGAAGGAGAAGCACGTCAAATCTGCTGTATCTACCGGAGGATGACAACGTCGGACATTTCGTCTGGATAAAGTATTTATCCCGCCTCGTGAGTTCTCAACTCAGCAAGAAGAAGCACAAAAAGTACATTTGCGATCGGTGAGTATCAATAAAATTTATGAAAAATATAATAGTTTTATTTTTAAAAATATATATTTAAAAACTGTTTAATATTTTTTCAGATGTCTGCACTACTTTAATTCAAATGGAAAGTTGGCAGTCCACAGCGTGGACTGTCGACAGATAAATGACTGTGCAGTCGTATTACCCAGCGAGAAGGACAAGTGGCTCAGCTTCGACAACCACAGCAGAAAGGGACGCGTGCCGTTTGTAGTGTACGCGGACCTTGAGTGCATCTTGAAAAAGACTGATACCGATACCGATACCAAAGCATACTAGCACCACCAGGTATGTAGCATCGCGTACTACGTCCACTGTTCCTACGACGACTCGCTGTCAACGTACCGTTTCCGCCGCAACATTGATTGCGTCGCGTGGTTCACCGAACAACCCGAAGAGTTGGCGCATCGTGTAAAGACGACGCTCGCAGCGAACGTGGATATGACGCTTACGTCAAACGAGAAACGTGATTTCCAGAACGCGGCATATTGCCATATATGTGGAGGACCGTTCGACGCTGATGAGCAACGTGTGTGCGACCATTGCCATCTTACCGGTCGTTACAGAGGACCAGCGCGCAGCGCACTCGCGCTGTAACCTGAATTATAAGGACTCATACATCGTCCCAGTGTTCTTTCACAATCTGTCAGGATACGACGCGCATTTCATTGAGAATATTGCCACCGGATTCGAGGGAACCGTCGACTTCCCATTAATAAGGAAAAATATATATCGTTCACGAAGAACGTTAAGGACTCAACGTACGAAAAAGGGAAGAAGTGTGTCAAACTGCGATTTGTGGACTCATATAAATTCCTAAGTGCAAGTCTCGTAAAGCTAGCGTCCTATCTCGACAAGAGCAAGCTACGCGTCACCCGGAAAGAATTCGCGCAACTTGGCGAGGAGAAGTTCGAGCTTCTCACGCGTAAAGGCGTGTTCCCATATGAATACGTCGACAGCACCCACAAGCTTAGGGAGACTGAGTTACCGCCGCGCGAGGCGTTTTACAGCTCCTTGACCGGCGAAACCGCGAGTGATAGCGACTACGAGCACGCGACGAACGTATGGCAATCCTTAGGCGTAGTAAATCTCGGCGAGTACAGTGATATACATATATCTGAAGACGGATGTGCTTCTGTTAACAGATATTTTCGAAAATTTCCGTAATACTCGTACATGTATCGAGAGTTACACGGATTAGATCCTGCACATTACTACACATTACCAGGATACACGTGGTACGCGATGCTAAAACACACCGGCGTGCGATTTGAGCTGCTCACAGACACTGACATGATCATGTTTGTGGAACGTGGCATACGCGGTGGTTTGAGTCAATGCTCGAACAGATACGCGCGAGCCAACAACAAATACATTGCGTCGTACGATTCTTCGCTACCATCCACATACCTCATGTATTTCGATGTAAATAATTTGTATGGGTGGGCAATGTGTCAGCCACTACCTTACGCAAATTTTCAATGGGTCACTAACGTTACTGATTTTAATGTAAATACGATCGCTTCGGATTCATCCACCGGGTACATACTCGAGGTCGATCTCGAGTATCCGCAGCATCTTCACGACGCGCACGCGCCGGACCTACCGTTTTGTCCGACGCGCGATAAGCCGCCAGGCAAGCAGCAGGAAATGCTGCTTGCGACTGTGTATGATAAGAAGTACAGCTACTGGATAAAGGATAGCTGACTCGTCCGCCATCTTGGAGCTCAAACGTTTGACTTCGACAAATGCATTTCGGCACAAGATATGAATTTCTTGTTCTACATTTATTGTTAATAAAATCCAAATTACGTTTATTGTTAATAAAATCCAAATTACGTTTTTGTTTTTGGAAAGCTATATTTTTATTTATACAAAAATTGTGGATAAGAATCAAAGAAATAAAACACAAGAGATGGATGAATTAATTTATTACGGTTTTCTGAAATACAGATTTGGAACCGTAGCTTACGGTATTCTTTTTATCACAAATTTAAAAATTTCTTATTCCTAGACCTCGTACAGTTGTATAGTGTTCAAGTAAATAATGTAGAATATTACAACATTGAAGAAACAAAGAATCATATTTATCCTTTACATAATTGATAATAGTTTTGAAAGATACTAATTTTTGCAATAAATCTGTCATATTGTTTTGAACAACACTCTCAGTATATTGAAACATTCCATATGTTATACTAGAAATTTTTTTCAAAACTCCTAAGTCAAGACATTCAGTTAAAGTTGCCTCTTTTCCACGAGATAATTCAACATTTAGCAACAATTTTGAAATTTGTGATAAAAAAACCGTAAGCTACAGTTCCAAATCTGCATTTCAGAAAACCGTAATAAATTAATTAATTCATCCATCTCTTGTGTTTTATTTCTTTGATTCTTGTCCACAATTTTTGTATAAATAAATAAAAATATAGCTTTCCAAAAACAAAGACGTAATTTGGATTTTATTAACAATTAATTTAGAACAAGAAATTCATATCTTGTGCCGAAATGCATTTGTCAAAGTCAAACGTTTGGGCTCCAAGATGGCGGACGAGTCAGCTGTCCTTTATGTAGTAGCTATAATAAGAAGCGTTACGTCATACACTACCGCAATCTGCAGCAGTGCACGCATCATAGCCCATAGGCTTCGCGTGACAAAGATACATCGCATATTGTATGTTCTCGCAATCTCCATGGCTTCGCAAATATATTGAGCTCAACACACAATTTAGAACGTTAGCCAAAAATGATTTCGAGAAAAATTTGTTTAAATTAATGAACAACGCGGTATTCGGTAAAACTATGGAAAACGTTCAGAATCACGGCGATGTTAAACTCTTAACTTACTTGTGAAAAAGAAGAATGGTGAATATCGTATGTGCGTGGACTTTAGGAAGTTGAATCTAATCACAATCAAGGACAAATATCCGATGCCATTGATTGAGGAACAAATCGATAAGCTAAGGGGCTATCGGTATTTTACCGGGTTAGATTTAGCTTTAGGGTACTATCAAGTGCCGGTAGCGGCAAAATCAATAGAAAAGACGGCGTTCATGACGCCGGAGGGCCACTACGAGTTTTTGCGCATGCAATTCGGACCGGCTAACGCGCCGGCAGTATTTCGACGCTTGATGGACAACGTATTAGGCAATTTAAAGGTTTCGGTAGCTTTCCCTTATTTGGATGATATTATACCCTCGAAGACTATACCGGAGGGCATGGTACGATTACGACAGGTCTTGGATGCGTTGCGTAGACATCACTTGACTTTAAAGCTAGAAAAGTGTTTTTTCTTCACAAGGTCCATAGAATATCTAGGACGAGAAATTAGCGAACATGGGGTTCGGCCTGGACGACGTAAAATCGAGGCCGTGTTAGATATGGAGGCGCCGAAGTCGGTAAAACAAGTATGCCAGTTTTTAGGGCTGGCTGGCTATTTTAGAAGGTTCGTTGAAAATTTTGCAACGATCGTTGAACCTTTGACAAGACTAACTAACAAGGGGACAGTCAGGCGTTCCCCTCCCCGATTGGGCTGAAATTGTGCATAAGTGTAGTACTTTGCGAGAAACTTTTATAGAGCAAGCCACTCGACGCACCTCTCAAGCGTTTTCGAGAAAAAGCAATTTGAAATTTGCATGTATAGTATGTGTTAGTAGTTGTGCAGCGCAAAAATTTTTCAGCCGAACGCGTAGCGTACCGGGCAGCGCGCCAGCTTCGTAAGCGCGAGGTCGCTGGTTCGAGTCTCGCTGCTACTCTTTTTTTCCATTATTTTTTTTCTATTATAAATGTTTCTTTAGTTATACAATATTGATGCTGAAATTTTAATATTTTTATCGTTTTGAAATATTTGCAATATAAATCTTTATTAATTATTTGCAATATTTATAATATTAAGTAGAAGGCAGTATATTGGTACATAAATTAAGATGATATTCATCACAAAAACATGTAAAACAATATGTTGTAAAACATCGTGCGCATCTTATAAAAGCTGCTTTTTTACAAGCACAAGGAATTTTAAGAATATCGATAGAGAAACATATTTCATTAACGTTCCTGAAAATGTTTCTTTCATCGCAAAGTTTTGCAGCGAACCAAGCGTAACGCAACATTTCAGAAAATACTGAAACTGACAACTGATTATGAACAATCGATTGAATTTTTAAGCAATCTTCTCTGGATGCTATCTCGCGATTTTGTTCGATGAGGTAGGTATAAAGCGTCTACAAAATTGTTCCTACCTCATCGAACAAAATCGCGAGATAGCATCCAGAGAAGATTGTTTAAAAATTCAATCGATTGTTCATAATCAGTTGTCAGTTTCAGTATTTTCTGAAATGTTGCGTTACGCTTGGTTCGCTGCAAAACTTTGCGATGAAAGAAACATTTTCAGGAACGTACATGAAATATGTTTCTCTATCGATATTCTTAAAATTCCTTGTGCTTGTAAAAAAGCAGGGTTAATGTGCAT